GATCTTTATACAAAGCTTCTGAAGTTTCTACTGACTTCTGTTATTTCTAAGCACTTCATTATCCAATCGTGACAGGAAGTTGAATGCCTTTTTATAATCAATCCAAGCTACAGTGCATTCAAGTTGATCTTACTTCTCTTGAAGTTTTCCAAAATTATCTTGTCAATTAGGAGTTGATCTTTTGTTCCTATGCTGTTTGGGCAGTTTCCTTTATTCTCATGTTGAAAAAGCTCGTTTTCAACTAGATGTTGTTAGACTGCATCAGCTACCACACTAGTTAGCAATTTGAAAGTTGTTGGTAAGCAAGTAATTGGCCTGTAGTTGCCTGGTGCTGCCCCTTTTGATGGCTCATTCATTATCAGGTTGGTTTTGTCAGCCGTTAGCCACTATTCTGCAGCATGTTGTTAAACTATTTGGCAATGAGTGGGTGTCTATCAGTCACATTTTCATCAAAAATCATGCAGTTCCTCTTCACCTCTGGTGCTGACCAATTCTTGATCTCCCTTGCCTTGTTTGCCACTGTTTCTGCTGTTATTACAAATTCTTTCATTTCAGCTTTTTTTTATTCTTATCCACCTCCTTTAAACAAGCTGTGTCCTTATTCTTTGGGTTATTCCAGAACTGCACTGTTTCTTCGTTGTCAGGTGTTGATTGACATTGCATACTTTGTTGTTGTTATTGTTGTTGTTTGTATCCCACCTTTATTATTTTGAGCTCTGGTGCTGCTGTGGTTAGAATACAGGATTGCAGTCTAGCTCTTCCCACAGTTCGCAGTTCGATCCTGAGGGGACTCAAGGTTGACTCAGCCTTCTTTCCTTCCAAGATTAGTAAAATGAGAATTGTTGGGGGCAATATGTGACATTTTAAATCACTCAGAGTGTGCTGTAAAACACTATGGAGCAGTATATAAACCTAAGGGCTATTGCTATTTTACAAATATCTCAAGGCAGTGAACATATTCATACCTTTCTATTTTCTCCACAACAACAGGTGAGTTGTATCACAGAGAGTGGCCCAAAGTCACCTAATCGGTTTCATAATTGAGATGGGACTTGAACTCATGGTTCCAGCCTGGTGCCTGGACCAAATAGGCTCTCCATAATGTATTTATGCTAGGTTGGCTTTGGAGATGGGTCAATCACTTCAGCTGATCCAGAATGTGGTTGCATGACTCTTGCACAAAATCTGATTTGTAGCAGTTTTCACTTTGTACAAGATTCATTACAAAATGTTGGTTGTCATCTTTAAACCTAAGTGTGTCAAAACTTGGGTATGTAATGGACTGCCTGTTACCAGAAAAGCCATCATTTAGTTAGCTGACATCTTTGTTCTTAATAATGCTAAGCAGTTCAGTCTAATGTCAGTTGAAAATCTGCTTAAGACTTCCAAAGAAATCTCATTGCAAATAAAATTTGTGAGTATGACCATCATCATGATTAAGAACTATCTAAGAGGACATTTGATCCTTGATTTTTTCTGGAACCAGTTTCTTGGACTATTGTCTCTGCTCTGCCTTTGCTTTCTCACTTGGAATTCAATCTCAAGTAGCAAACCACTCCACAAGAGATAGGATACAAATGCAACAAAAAAGTAATTGCTATTGTTAGGGTTGATCTACATCTTTACTTAAGGTTGTAACTTTATGGGGGTTGCCTTTATGTTTTCTGGTTTCAATTTTTAGGAGGAGCTTCCCATAGAGCAGAATTTCTGCTATAACTAATTACAGTATATGCAGCATACACAGATGTAGAATTGCTTTTGCTGCCGTGCTTGAAACTTAGGCTGGTTAGAACATTAGGATCACACAACACACTTAGCAAAACAAATCACATTATGGCTTATGATACAGTGTGTGTGAATCCAGCCTTGCCCTGAGAGAGAATGGGAATGTAATTTTCAAATTACACATTTCCCTACTTTTTACCGTGGAAAAAATGGTTTTACATATGCTTTTCTTCCTAACTTTTCTTCCACAAATGCAGAGCCCCCGCCCTTTTTTTCTTTTAATAAACTGAAAGTTAATCCCTTGGTTGTGACAGGAATTAAACAACCAGCTTCTTGCCCAACATTGTGGGCTGAGAGAGAGTGAGAAACAGAGTTGGCTTTCATGTTAAGGCAAGACTAGAACTCGTCTCCTGGTTTCTTGCTTGCATCCTTAAATAGATTTCTTCTTTTTCATATTATTTTTAAGAGATGGTATAGATCAGGGGTGTCCAACCTTGGCAACTTTAAGACTTGTGGACTTCAACTCCCAGAATTCCTT